ATTAGTCATCTGAACAGTCATACTCAGGGTAAACCAGAAAAAGTCAAATATCTTGAAAAAAGAGAAACTTTTACCAGTTGTACACACAGTTGTGCACAGTGACATCTTTATCATTGCATAACTAGATTTTACATAGTTTTAGGTACCGTGTACTCTGTTATGTGTTCTTTATCTTTGGTTTGGTCTTTTTTATATACACCTTACTTTGTACCTTCCTAGTTCTTGTAGTTGGGAAAGACCCTGATGCTGGGAGGGATTGGGGGCAGGAGGAGAAGGGGGCGACAGAGGATGAGGTGGCTGGATGGCATCACCAACTCGATGGGCATGAGTTTGAGTAAACTCTGGGAGTTGGTGATGGACAGGGAGGCCTGGCGTGCTGCGATTCATGGGGTCGCAAAAAGTCGGACACGACTGAGCGACTGAACTGAACTGAGTTCATGTAGTTATCCTTTTATAGTAATAGGTTATTTCATCATACATTTTCATCATTCCCCAGTAATTAGATTCTTTTCCAGCCTAATTAAAAAGCTCTAAACATCTTGGCAGAAATATTTTATTTTTAGATGGTAGGGGAGCTATATTACTGAATGGTGTTATCATGGTCAAAAGACATAATTCATTGAACATTCTTCTTGCATACTTTTAGCTTATTATCAAAGATTATATTATTTAACAGTGCTCACACAATCTAAGGACATATTCAGCTCCTCACCAGTGCCTCATCAGCGTTTGGTTTTATCATTCTTATCTATTTATGTTAATTTAATAAACATGAAGTATTATCTCTCCTTCCTTTTTTTTAATTATAAGAGAAACACATAATTTTTGTAGAACACTTAGAAATACAAAATATGGGAGTTCCCTGGTGGTCTAGTGGTTAGGATTTGAGGCTTTCACTGCCATGGCCCACGTTCACTCTAGTTGGAAACTAGAACCCACAAGCTACGTGGGATGGTCAAAAAAAAAAAAACAACTATATATATATATAGAGAGAGAGAGAGAGAGGGAGAGGGAGAGAGAGAGAGAGAGTAATCCCTCTGGAGACAAGTGTTCCTTCTATGTGTAGCTTTTAACTTAAATGAGCTATTTTTTTTCTACTAGAGCTCTTGAAGAAGGAAGTGTTTATCTCTCAGTATTTTGAGAAATTAAGGCCAGGTTTTGTCTACACCCTACAATCTCCATGCATAGTTTCCATTTTTCCCTAAAAGGCATCCATCTTCCACCATTGACTTTGGAAGGATGAGAGAGTCTGAAGGAAGGTCAGAGTTGAAAGGTTGAAGGAAGTAGCTCTCAATAAAGTGTTGAGAATCAACTTTTAAAGAGAATTTTTCCTGAAAATAGGGGTACCCAGGACAGGAAATCCTGCTTTTTATTTGACATTTGGGACCTAACTTACTTTATTTCTAAAGAAAACTCCAGAGAAAACAAATTCTACAGACTACTGGCTAAAAGCCCCAGACTCTTATTTTCTTATTGGTAAATGTGGATGCATTTGGTTTATAGATTCAAAGAAAATATTTAAGGGGTGGTCACACTAATGAGAGTTACTGCAGTCACCTGACAGGAAGGAGGACTTGTAGGGTGGGGTGAGGCCAAGACTGAGGAAATTCCAGAAAGTCTTAAAGTGTTTTACCTTTTCTCGCTTCTCTTAACGGAGTATGATAATTAAGGCTCCCTCAGGCATGTGAATAAAAGAGAGTGAAATGTGATAAAAATGTGTTACAGAAGAGTATTTCACTATCAGAATTCCTGCGTGTATGTTCCTCTACTTTCCTTGAGAAATATTGGAGGAAACTCCTCCTCCTTCCTGAACCTCAGGCTACCACTTGTAAAATGAAGATCATAAATTAATAGTAAATGCATTTGAGATCTTAGGGTTTGGGTTTTTAAGTGTAGTTGATTTGCAATATTGTGTTCATTTCAGATATAGAGATCTTGTCATTCTTGATATTTGAGTGGGTTGGAGGTGGAAAGATATTGAAAGAAATGCTTAGTGCTTCACCCAGGAGCTCATTAAAAGCCATCTCATTGGACTTCCCTGGTAGTCCAGGGGTTAAGACTCCATGCTTCCAATGCAGGGGGTGCAGGTTCTATCCCTGGTCAGAGAACTAAGATCCCACATGCTGCTTGGCCAAAAAAAATTTTTTTTAATTTTAAAAAGCCATCTTATCTCCAAGCTGTATTCCTCCTCAGAACTGGTGTCAGTATAACTTTGATTTCCAGAGACATTTCTCTCTTTTTCTCTAAGAGCAAATGACTTTGCATATTCACTTTTTTAGTAGTTGAAAGAAAATAATTCAGAGTATTGATATCCTCATGAACCAGTGGCTTTTGAGAGTAAGGGAGGAGAAAGGCTCTTACTTTATTTAACCCAAGGATTTAAATAAAAATGTAGCAAAGATGGGAGATTTTTTGCATCTAAAACCAAAGAACCTAACCCAGCATGTATGCTGGTTCTAAATGGTCTTGCTCTCAATAACACTAGTGTCAGAACTTCCCACATTGCTACAAGCACAGACAGAAGACTGAACTCCTAGCAGGCCGCAACAAGTAAAACATACTCTTGGAATTAGGCTCGAACTTTACCTTTGACAGAATGTAAATATTTGAAATATCGCTCCGCTGTTAAGAACGCAAAACCTGTTCCTTTTTGTTTTTGTTTTTTTTTAAGTATATTTCCAAGCTCTCTCCCTTTTTGAGCCCTGAAAATTTTCGTTTTTATAATGACCATCTTACAGTGCAGCAGCATTTGGAATAAATCTTTGAAATTTCCTTTACTCTAACTCTCTGCAAATGAAAAATGTTTTAAAAACAAAAAGATGTGGGTGAAGGGTGTTCTGCCAAACTTATCTTTTCCCTTTGGCTGATGACCTTCATTTCCAAATGGTGGGCTGCTCCAAGAACAAGAATGTTTGCATCATAGGAGTCATGTGGATGTGACTGATGGTGCTGCTGACCTGAGTATGATGTGGCAAGGTTAGAGTTGCTGTTGCCTTTTTTAAAAAAATAGGTCCAACAAATAATATACATGGCAAAGCTGACTGGAGGTGAAGTACATTAAGTGCATATTAAATTTGCAAGAAACAATGTTCTTTTTCTAAAATAATGAATTAATTTTATTTTTGGCTGCACTGGTCTTTGTTGCTACCCATGGCTTTCTTTAGTTCCAGCAAGCGGGGGCTACTCTTCCTTGCCACGTGCTGGCTTCTCTTGTTGCAGAGCACAGGTTCTAGGCGTGTGAGCTCAGTTGTTGTGGTTCATGAGGCTTAGTTGTTTCATGGCATGTGGGATCTTCCCAGACCAGGAATCGAACCCATGTCCCCTGCATTGGTAGGCAGATTATTGCCTTCTCCACCAAGGGAGAGCAGGGGGACTTAAAAAAGGGATAGTTCACTGTCTTAAACTTTATTGTTGTTTGATTAGTCCACTGAACTTAAAGGTTTAATAATTATTTACTAATGTTGAATTCAAAAGGATATTAGATGTTTTACTCTTGTCTCCTGTCATATTGGATTTCAGATATCTTTCCCACATCAAGTTATCTGGAAATAAATTGAGATTTCAATGATAGGAATTTGCTCAAAGGCTCTCAATGCAAGCTGAATAAACATAACATACTCTCTGTGTATTATGTCTAGGAACATCCTTTGACACTCAGGATTTCTCTTGAGTTACTTTTCCAGTCTTAAAAGTACAATTTGGAATTTTCATTATAGACCTACCCTAAATATGATAGATATAAATGTAGTAATTTATGGGAATCATAGGAATACTTTATTCTTAGACAGATCTGTACCTTTCACTTTTCTATTTAAAAAATAAAAGCTTATCTGTGCCCTCAGTAAGCTTCCAGTCCAGTATAGGAATGTGCAACAATTTAATAAGCATTGTAATGGGAGTGTGACTGTGTCCTTGGGAACAGAGGGAGGGCTACTTAGATTTATGGAGGAGAGGTATCAGATCAGAGGGAATTTGCTCAGCTCAGGGGTCACCAACCTCTGGGCCGTGGACCTATCAGATCAGTGGCAACAGTAGATTAGAAATAAAGTACACAATAAATGTAATGCGCTTGAATCATCCTGAAACCACCCCNCCAACCCCTGGTCCGTGGAAAAATTGTCTTCCATGAAATCAGTTCCTGGTGCCAAAAAGGTTGGGGACCACTGGCTTAGCTTAGTCTTGAAGGAACAGGCATTGCTGGACAATGGAAGGATAAGCATAATCCAGGTGGAGGGAACTCATTTACAATATCAGGGACCTCCCAGCAGTTTGCTTTTCCTGGAGAGTAAAGGGTGAGGAAGAGATTACCCAGAGAGTAAGAAGGGACCAGATCTAGAACTGATCTTCTCTGACATACTAAGCACTTTAGATTTAATTCACGGAGTGATTAGGAATCCTTAAAGAATTTTGAATAAGAGAATAACATAGATTTATGTTTGGGGATGATTATTTTGTTTTACTTGGGATAATGGCAGCATCATAGAGACTTCATTGGAAGGCAGAGGAATCAGTTAAGAAAGGTCAGGCAGCAGTCCAGGAAAAAGATGATGAAGACATGAACCAGAAAGCAAAAACAGGGATAAACTGGGATGGAGAAAGCCAACCACAGATACTGCCATCAGGACTTGACAGTTTGGAGAGACATGTCATTTTCATCTGAGACATGAGGATTCCATTCCAGTGACTGTTAAATTCCGAGGCTTTCTGGTTAAGGTGGTTAGGCAGAAATCTTTTGCAGAATGCATTACCTATATAGAGTTACTTATTTTCCCCTGGGCACCTGTGAATATGTAGTGCTTGATATTTATAACACTAAAACACATTCTGTGGTATATAAAAACTAATATAAAATCCAGTCTCTTCTGTATTTTAACTTCTAAAGGAGATTTGCAGTCCTCCGTTTTTAGCATTGCATCAAGATTTCCCATCCTCAAAAAAAAAAAAAAAAAAATTCCCATCCTTGCTGCAAAACTTATTGCTGGTTTTTGTTTTTCAAACAGATTCCTCGGGGCCAAAGCCGAAGTGCAGGTGGAAGGAAGATGTCTGAAAATAGCTATTCTCTGGATGACTTGGAAATAGGCCCAGGTAAGCAGAGAGTTCCACGTGTGGAAAGTTTTCTAGGAAGTACTCATTAGTAGCAATACCCTTTGACCTCAAAGCTGATGCTTTTAAAGGAAGAGTGGTGCAAATTAAAAGGAAGGCTGTTATATACAAGTCATTCCCAAATCTGATTGCTCTCTCCAAATAGCTTCTCTGTGTTTTTAATTCATCTTTGTCAGTGGTAACCTGTGTTAACCAGAGGGTCATTTTGCAGGATTGTAAGGAAAGCACCATTACCAACAATTTTTGCTCCATGGTTGTCTAGGACTTGAGGTCTTCCATGGATGGACATTATCCCCTGTCAAGATTGCTGATTATCCTATATTGCTGATGCTAACATTACACCTTGAAGAGGAATTATTATGTTTTGAAGGGGGCATATACAGGCATTTCACAAAAGAAAAAATAAAATCAATTAATATAGGAAAACCATCAGCCTCCTAGGAATCAAAGAAATACAAATTAAAATGGCATTGTGGTCTAATTTTTTCACATGTTAAATAAAGCCAAAATTTAAAAATATGTAACACTCAATGATGGTAAGCAGTCTCCTCTTAATGTTGGCAAAGTGAGTGTTGCCTTGTAAATAACAGTTATAATCCTGATTTCCTTCTTTGTATTCTTAATAGAATAGGTTGATTCTACAATAGCTTAAAATTTAGAATCTTGAAATCATTCAAATCGCATTTATCTTCTAATAAAACATATTGTTTGCATGCTTGCAGGTCAGCTGTCATCTTCAGCACTCAACTCAGAGAAAAGAGAGAGTAGGCGAAATCTAGAATTCCCACGCCTGTCAGAAACCTCCATAAAAGATCGAATGGCCAAGTACCAGGCAGCTGTGTCCAAGCAAAGCAGTTCTGCGAGCTATACAGTATGTGTTCGGCATCATTCATTCATTCACTCATCTAGCAAATGGTCACTGAGCATGGGAACTAGAAATGTCTCCCAGACCCTGACCTGTGAGCCCTGGCTCCTTCCTGGGGTCCAGCCATTCTCTCTTCACATAAATCCTACCCTAGTTTCATTTGTAATCCTTACCATATTCTAATTCTGACTTTGTTTTCCTAGGCCTTATTCCCACCCACCTTTTCTTTGCTGATATTACCATCTAGTAATACCATTGAGAATTTTCCTGTCTCTTCTACTTAATCTTGTTGTTAAAGAAGTAGTATTTGAAAAAAAAAAAAAAAGAAGAAGAAGAAGTAGTATTTGAGGAATTCCCTAGCAGTTCAGTGGTTAGACTTAGTGCTTTCACTGCCAAGGACCCGGGTTCAGTCCCTGGTCCAGGAACTAAGATCCCACAAGCTGCATGGTGGCCAAAAAAAAAAAGTAGTATTTTATTAGTTTTAATATAAACACTTATTTTTGTCTTTGAGAGAAGAAAGGGAGAATACTGGAGCGAAATATTGAATATATTCAACATTAATGTGGGATGGGACATTTTCCTGCAATTTTAATTCATATATAATTCACCTGACATAAAAATCACCATTTTAAAATATGCAATTCAGTTACTTTTAATATATTCACAAGGTTGTGCAATCATCACCACTGTCTAACTCTAAAACTTCTCCATCACCACCAAAAGAAACCCATCCCTGTTCAGTGACTCCCAATTCTACACTTTCCTTATCCCCTTGCAACCCCTAATCCACTGTCTGTTTTTATGGATTTTTCTTGTTCTGGACAATTCACGTAAATAAAATCATACAACATATGATCTACTTAATATTTAATTCTTAGGATGTAATACTTTTCTAAAGAAATAGAATAGTGGATAAGAAAAAGAGGGAGAAATGATAGGAGGGTGAGGTACTCTGTAAGCACAAAAATGTGGTGTTCTAACACAATGGAGGATCTTTCCATATTACACTCTCCTAGGTTTAACTGGCAGGAGGACACAACAGAACTGCTTATTTGAAGTTACCTTTTAAATGCCATTTATTCATAAGTACACACACATATATACACATGTACACATACATTTGTATCTTTCAAACATTTGTTCCTTCTAAGATTTCAAATGACAAATTATTAATCTCTTATTATTTTCTAATAAAATTGGAAGAATAGTATTAGCTTTTATTTATTCCCAAGCAGACTGAACCAGTGTCTGTTAGAAATCACAGTGTGTATTCTCGGAATTGACCCTTCTTTCCCCCACAGGATGAAGTATGCCTTTGCCAATAGTATTTATTGGTAGACCAAGTCTCTGGGTGGTGAATAATCTCATCTTGATTTTTCACTATAGTTTTCAGAAGAGATAATGTGTGTAAATAAGTAGTGAAGTAGAACATCACAGGCTTGTTATTCATTGGGAGTGTGAAAAAATAAGCAAATTTAGACTTCTTTTAAAAGGCAGGTCAGGAAATACAGCAAACATGATCTGTGGAGCTTAATTCCCTCTTGTTGCAAGATTTTGCTGCTTCTCAGTGCCTTCCTGCTATAAACATTCCGACCAGGTGATTCTCTAAGTGGAAAAACCTGTTTGGTAACTGTTTTTTTACCTCCTAATGAGAGTTTCTACATTGCGTTCTCCTGCACTGTAAATTTTAAGAGTTGAAAAGCCTTAAGGAATTCTTGTTAAAAGCACATTTTATCTCATCCCAAAAGAATTTCTCAGGCCGCTACAGGGAGGAGCATGGTTGTAGCAAGGCACACACTCTTGATGCTGGGGGGCTGGGCTTTGAGGCGAGATCAGGAATAAGTTTCCGGTTGTTGTACGGTTGGTTTTGCAATTTTGGCTGCCAGAGCTGTGGGCCTTAATCTGGAATTCCGCACCTGAAACTGTCAGTCCCACTGACACTCCGTTCACTGGCCCTGTGGCCATAAATGGCTTGTTTTCTCCCTATACCTGAAGAATCACAAAGAACAAAAAAGATATTAGATTACTAGTAGGCTAAAGGTAGGAAATGTTCATATTCATCTACCTCTGTATTGACTTTGGATCTAGTAATAAAGTTGATTTTAATATTTTGCCCCAAGAGTTCTTTGCAAGGAAAACAAATATAATTATGCTCACTCCTTCTGATTCACGTCTGCTTTTTTATGTTGAAGCTCTATTATGAGAACTAGAATAAGGTATGTCTTTAGTATACTGTATGAATTTTATGCAAAAAAAAAAACCAGCCCACCAAAATATGTTTTTGAAAGTCTCACAACAAAAGGCTATTTTTCGGTATCATTAAGTATAATTTCAATTCTTATATATATGCATCATCCCTGTCTTTCTTTCCAGGCCGGGCATTTATATATATATGGTCAGTATCTTTTCTTAATTATTGGCACTTGGCACCTCCTTTCCCCTGCTCCAGAATGGTCTTTTCTGATAAAACTCACCAGCTTTGCATTCCCACAAGCTGTGCTGCTAGAAGAGTGAATCACGAGAATATTGTATGCTGGGGCAGCAGGGTGGAAGCGGGGAGGGTTGGTGTGTGTGTCTGTGTTGATGTGTCTATGTTCTAATGAGCATCAAGTTTTGGACTAGTTGTATAAATATTTAACTCTGAGGTGTGTGTGTCCACAAAGCTGCTTTTGTCATTTCACAAGTCAATGGGTTTTGCTTCTGAGATTTAGGGGGTTGATTTGACTTGAAACCTTGGAAAAGAATTTCTTTTTTAGCATTCCAAGTTTATTTAATAGATGGCTATGAAGAGAATTGTGAGACTTTTTTAAAAATTCACAGACTATTTTTATTTTGTAGAATGAGTTGAGAGCCAGTGGTGGTGAAATCAAAACTCATAAATTGGAGCAAAAGGAGAATGTGCCCCCAGGTCCTGAGGCCTGCATCTCCCATCCAGATGGAGAAAAGGTGGGTTGAAAAGCCTGATGTCCATTTGCCAGGGAAGCATGTGTTCTAAATTAGTTGCTTAAAATTAGAAACAACTCTAGGCTGTAGAGTGTCTGGGAATTTGGTAACAGCTGCCAGGACAGATTGTCTTTTTTGCAGGTCACATAATTTTGGTTGGGGAACTGTGCAACTTATAGCTGACCAAATAATGAACCTTCATTGGAAAATTCTTTTGCTCAGCAAATGCTTAAGTGATTTTTAAAAAAACCTGTTTTGAATAGAGATATCATCTTCAAACTTATTTGTATATTATTAATTTAACAGTTTGTGTATGAAAATGTCGTTCTTTCACTTCAGAGTATTTTGAAAGCTAGGCACTACTTAAGCACAGGCAGTGCTGAACTTGTTCTTCAGTCACTAAGTCGTGTCTGACTCTTTGTGACCCCATGAACTGTAGCACACCAGTCTTCCCTGCCTTCACCACCTCCCGGAGTTTGCTCAAACTTGTGTCCATTGAGTCAGTGATGCCATCCAACCATCTCATCCTCTGTCACCTCCTTCTCCTCTTGCCCTCAGTCTTTCCCAGCATCAGGGTCTTTTCCAATGAGTCATTTCTTCACATCAGGTGACCAAAGTATTGGAGCTTCACCTTCAGCATCAGCCCTTCCAATGAATATTCAGGATTGATTTCCTTTAGGATTGACTGGTTTGATCTCCTTGCTGTCCAAGTGACTCTCAAGAGTCTTCTCTAGCACCACAGTTCAGAAACATCAATTCTTCAGCACTCAGCCTTCTTTATGGTCCAACTCTCACATCCGTACATAACAACTGGAAAAACCATAGCTTTGGCTATATGGACCTTTGTCACCAAAGTGATACCTGCTCTTTAATACACTGTCTAGGTTTGTCATAGCTTTTCTTCCAGGGAGCAAACATCTGTTAATTTCATGGTTGCAGTCACTGTCTGCATTGATTTTGGAGCCCAAGAAAATGAAATCTGACACTCTTTCTGCTTTTTCCCCATCTGTTTGCCATGAAGTGGTAGGACTGGATGCCATGATCTTTATTTTTTGAATGTTGAGTTTTAAGCCAGCTTTTTCACTCCTCTTTCACATTCATCAAGAGGCTCTTTAGTTCCTCTTCACTTTCTGCCATTAAAGTTGTTAGAGCTTAACAACTAAATGTGAACAAACCGTTCCATGTGGCCTTTACCTGCACGGAAGCTAATAGAGTAGGAGGGAGATGCGTAACAAGTTGGCAATTATAAAACAGCAAAACAAGTGTTAGAAAGGGCTATGTGTGGCCATGGAAGCTTGGGCTAAGGACACTTACCCTGACTTTCTCAAGAAGGTGATATCTGAGCTAGATCTTGAAGGATGAACAGGCCAAGTGAATAAGTGGAAAGTTGAGTAAAAAAAAAAGCAAGTGTATTCCAGATAGACACAACAGAGGTTTGGAAACCAGAGAACCCAACCAAGAGCATAAAGTACACATAGGCAATGGTGAGAGACAGATGAAGGGAGAGGGCCAGGGCTTGTCTTAAAAAACCCTTAAAAGTATGGGTGTAGTCCTGGAGCAGAGGAAAGCCATGGGAAGATTTTAAGAAAATCAGGTTTTATGCATTTATTGTTAGATGCATGGCTTAGCTGGAGTAAGCAACAACATAGATGTCAGGTGAATTTATCATTTTCTCTGACAATCCATTACCCAGTGTCTTTGGTCTTTCATTCAATATGATGATCAAGTGTTAAGTTAGATGAGGAAAAAGAGCTTTCAAATCTGTTACATTGAATAATAGGCACATAATCATTGTTTCTGTTATACATTTTGACACCCTTGAGGCCATTCTACAAAAGGTGAGGAGATGATTAAAATGGGTTGAGAGCAATAGTTCTCAAACTTTTTTGACTGTAAGTCTTTAAAATAGATGTATTGACAGCACTGGATAGAGGAGCCCAGCTGGCTCTAATCCATGGGGTCACAAAGAGTCAGACATGACTGAGCAGCTAACACACACACACACTGACAGCATACCAACAGGAACTCATGAGATATACTACATACTTGGACCAAAGTAAGCATACAGAAAAATGGTCTCAGATTAATGGCCACAAAATTTGACTTAAAGAATTGTTGTTCAGTTGCCAAGTCATATCCGACTGCAACCCCATGGACTGCTGCGTACCAGGCTTCCCTGTCACCGTCTCCCAGAATTTGCCCAAGTTCATGTCCATTACATTGGTGATACCATCCAGCCATCTCATCCTCTGTTACCCTCTTCTGACTATGCCTTCAATCTTTCCCAGCATCAGGGTCTTTTCCAGTGAGTCGGCTCTTCGCATCAGGTGGCCATAGTATTGGAGCTTCAACTTCAGCATCAGTTCTTCCAATGAGTATTCAGGATTGATTTCCTTTAAGATTGACTGGTTTGATCTCCTTGCTGTCCAAGGGACTTTCAAGAGTCTCCTCCAGCACCACAGTTCAAAAGCATCAGTTTTTTTGCGCTCTGCCTTCTTTATGGATTCAAAGAATAGAACAGGAAAAAATTTAGGAGTTTTTATTTTATAAAATTGAATCACTTCATTTTATAAAACAATATCTCATATATATTTTGAAATAATTAGACGAAAGTACTTCTTTCATAATCATAAAATAATCAAATTACAAACATCCTTAAAACAGTGGGCTGAGGCACTATTTCCATGTCTCACATAATGTTTCTAGTGAGTTCTCTCATCAGTCTGCCTGGTTTTCCCATTTTTTTAAGTGTGAGATTATGTCTTACAAAAAGTTTTCTTATATACTCTAAAAAAAGACATTTAAGAAGTGAAATCCTGCATTGAAATCCTCCCATCTGTTCTTGGAGCATAACTTGAAAAATAATCATCTGGATAATCGTACTTGAGTTGTCCCTAATTCTAATTTCATGTTTCTTTCTTAATTGTCTTCTTGATTTGCAACTGGAACTCTGAGCTGAACTGGAGGATCCGAACATTTTAATTACAGTCTAAAAGGGCATCAGTGCAACTGAATCACAAGTTGGGGAGTAGGTGGGGAATAGAAGAAATAAAAATAGTACATAGCCTTCAAGCATATACTGTAGGTTCATGAACCCTTGGTTGCCTTAAAATTTGTAAAATTTTTCAAAGCCTCAGCTATCCTTTTGGCTGTTTGCCTAGCTTTCGTTAACCAACACCTAAGAGCTGTTTGAACTTGGGTTTGTTACAAAAGGACATTAATGCCAGGGTCAAGTTGCCTGAAATAGAGTATTTTGTCAAGGTATTGGTCTTCGCTTTCTCCTTTTGTGAATGAATTTATACTTCTCTTTAATGAAATGTTTGAGCAAAATCTCACATACTGTCTCCTGGCTGTTCCGTAGTGAAGTCATCTAATTGGGTACGTGCAGTGATGTCATGATTATCATTAAACTTACCCTGCAGGTTCAAGGTGTCCAAATTGGAAGTGAAAAAAGGACATCTTGGGATGGATGCCCCTACTAATTAAGCAAGAATTGAAGAGCTTTTTGTAGCCATGCACTACTTTCAGAAAATTTATTTCATATCATTAAATGAAATAACACATTTAAAGTAGTCATTCCAATACCTGGAACATAGTAAACATTTCATCCGTGTTAACTATTATTATACTGGTTTGTTTTATGCCATGTCAGAACTCCTGTAATAAAAGGAGAATAAAGGGGGAAAAACTGACCATGCTGAAATTCACGTGCAGTCAGCTAACAACTTAATCTCCATTGTAAATTTATTCGGTACATTAGACATCCTGATATAAACACTCAGCATGGTGAATCCCTGACATCTGAATGAAAGAATATTCCATGAAGAGTGTACGTTGGGTCGTTTGATGACCCTTCATGATTTTGAATGTGAAAGAAGATATACGGAAGGACTAGGGGACAGGAGAACGGAGGAGTGAGCTGGTAGAAAGTTCTTTTATTTAAATTTGATGGCTAATGGGAAAAGTAATCACCTACACCTAAGATCTGCCATCTTGTTAAACACTACCATTTTGAGACTGGAATTAAACAAGGGAAACTAACCTTTGAAGATAATACCAAAGGGTTGTTATAGATAAATTTGTTTTATAGCTATCAGAAGGTCTTCTGTACTAGCAAGCTTGTTTCAGCAGAATGTGTTTGGTTGGGCAATAAGGAGTTAGGAAAATGAAAGAATAATAGTTCCTGTATGTAAAGACTTTATCTTGCCTTGGAGTGAGTTACAGTTATAGGAGTTGTGGTTTTTGGTGAGGAGCTTTGCCCTCCCTGATAGAAGGATTTGTTTCACACCCCACTTTCCCTCTTTTTTTTTTTTGAGAGTAGAAAGATATATTCAGAAGTTCTTTTATAAAGGAAGATAATGCACACTTTTGGCAGTTGCTTGCAGTCTGTTATTCACGTAACTCTGTAATTGAGAGGCATGTTAATATCCTCATAAAAGACATTTTGCTGCCTCTTGTTTAAATGCTCAGCTGTTCTGGGGCCCATTATTTCCCCTCAGGCAGCCGGTGACTGACTGGAGTCAGCAGGTTTTTATGGCATTACAGCAGTTTGCTCTTTTATTTTTAATGTGATTCTTAATCCCCCCGCCTTTTTTTGTAGGTTTCTGCATCTGAGAATAGCCTGGCAACCCATTCCACCCCTGCTGAAGATGATTCCCGTAAGTGTTCGTTCTTAGGTCTGGAGGGTGAGGGTCTTGTTCTCTTGCCCCTGTTTGGGTGCGGAGGGCAGGGGGTGGGGGGGCTTGTCCCCGTTTCTGTCAGCTCTGAGAATATGTAACATATTAAATCCAGTAATGCAGCTGATTAGATCTTTCACTTGGTTTTAATGACTGATGACTGGGTACCTTTCACATATCCCATGGCAAAGAGAGATGTTAAATTCAATGAAATATGATTAACTTGGGGCAAACTGAATATTTTTGATGCTTCTCTCCTTGAACTTACCCTGTCTTTTATACCAAACCTTTTCAGGTTTAATGCTGTAAAAACTATAATTTTGAAGCTTCATTTTAATAGAAGTTTAGCCAAAAAGGGCTTTATTTATTTACAGGGATAAGAATTGGTATTTGAGTAGCCTTTAAAAAATACCCTTTTCTTATTATATCTATATAAATATGTACTATAATCCGCCCTCTGGCTAAATTGTTCCTGTTGGTGCTGAATTTGATCACCTTTTCATCCTACTTTGGAATCATTTTGAGCCTCTTTTCCCAAAGACAAAAATCTTTGTTTTTTAATTTACTGTGTCCAATTTTGATTCTGATGTTCAGTGTATTCGTTTTTTAATATATATAGATTTCTAGCTTTTCCTCAGGTTAATAACTCACTAAACATTGAAAACTCAGCAAGAAGCAGAAGTATTAGCTAAACAGATCTCTAGTAAACCCTGCCTTAAAATTTCAGAAAAATTCTTGCTGCTTGAATCCAAGAACATTCCATTTGCAATCATTTTGCTTGGACTAGAAATTTTTCTGAGTTTTGACTAGGTTTGCAAAACATTTTTTTGAAAAGTAAGCCTTAATCTTTCAATACTTTGTTGACATAACTCTAGATTTTAGGGAATTCTTTTATGGTTCCTTAGTAACTGCGTGAATGACTTCTCTGTGCCTCTTCTGAGTTTTCCACACAATGAATATACTGGCAGGGAATTAACTTATGTAAGTGACACGTCAATGACTATGAAAAAAATTTTATGGAGCCTTTTCCCATAATCTTCATCTATGGATATTTGCTGTAGGGCTGACCAAGAAGATGGTGTCACATTATATACACACATATACATGAGCATGTGTTGTGAAATTTCTGCCCACACATTCCCCCATTTTCCCAAGTTCAGTTGGAACACCCCAGAAGGAGTTATTGGGAGTGCTAATTGCCAAAAAGCCATCAAAGTCTACAAGCAGCCTTTAAAAATGACAAATGCTACAGGGCAGAAGTTTCCTTCTGTAGGGTGGTTTGGGTTCAGCTGCATGTGGCAAAGGATGAGAAACCCTCTGCGTTGACACCCCAATTTATGACAGAATCTAACAACATAGCTTTTAGTAGTAGAATATTCTTCAACGGAAAAGCAGCGTTTTTCCTGACGTTGAAAGGACCTGTCGATAATGGAGGTGCCTAAACTTGGGAAAGAACCTTTTCTGATACTTCTCCTGAGATACCATAAAACGTCTTCCTTCTGTAACTCAAGCAGGTAACTCCCAGCTCAAGAGTGAGGGCCAGCAGCCTGTGCATCCCAAGCCGCTAAGTCCAGATGCCAGAGCCTCCAGCCTTTCTGAAAGTTCTCCTCCCAAAGCAGTGAAGGTATGATGGTGATTTCTCTTGGAGCCTGTAGACACTGGTTTACTAGTAAAGCTCATTGCATCTTTTATCACTGTGTTCGTAATAACCTGTTTTGGCTTTCCTGGGGACGAAAATGCAAAATAAGAGCACACTTGAACCAGTCAATTTACTTGAAAATTTTGCCACTTTTTCTTAGGCATTTGAGCCAGGCGTGATGAGGCTCATTAATATTGCTCTGTCTGGAATATGGAAAGCTCCTGAAAGAAAACCCAAAGTGAAAGAAAATAACCCGACTTATTTTCTTGTTAAGTCCAAATTCATAAATCTATGAATGAGCAAAAACCTGTAAAATGAGCAATACAAAAAATCTGTTAAATTAAAAATCAGCCCATTGGATGGGAATGTACAGTGTTAGCTTAAAGATAGCGGCTCCCTGGTCTGAGGAAGTTAATGAAAACATGATTGGTAGTCAGTGCATTTAAAGAAAGAATGTGTACATTTCAGCAGGGTTTGGCCAGTCCATTTGCTCTACTAACGGGTATTCAGGTAACATTTACACTTAGTTATAATATTAGATATTAAGGAGTTTACAAAATGTTTGTACCGTAGGAAAATTTTACTAGGCTACTCAATCTATGGTCTCCTTTTATTCACTAATTTTTAAAAGCAGCCTTTCGTGGGAGGGGGGACTGGGATGGGGAATACATGTAAATCCATGGCTAATTCATTTCAATGTATGACAAAAACCACTGCAATGATGTAAAGTAATTAGCCTCCAACTAATAAAAATAAATGGAAAAGAAAAAAAAAAAAGCAGCCTTTCCCTTTCTATGAACAAGTTAATATTCCCATAAAAATAAACAAAGGTAAAAAAGTATATATCCAGCCTCTCTTTTAGGCTGTTCACCTGGCTTGTTTTAATTGAATGCTTTGCTAATACCATGCTGATTTACCCACTTGCATTAATAACCAAACATACCTACACTTCTTTAGTGTCTTCCTCCTGTGGTGTTCTCTTAAGTAGTCAAGGTTTGTTTCAAAGGTTTTAACATTTGAGAGAAACTCAGTGAGTAGAATTAGTTTTAAGGTGATTTGTACTGCCTTAACTTCATGCACGCATCTGCCATTTCTGTCTCTCAACTGTGGGCATGATTGGTTTCTTGATGAAAGTTCTAGTACACAGAAAGGATGAAGAGAGCAAGACAGAGGTGTGGGTTTGAAACAAAGGGAGAATAAGGAAAATCCAGGATTTAAAGGTTAGATTGAAAAAGAGAGTGGGGCAGGGGTGGGGGAAGATGGTAAACATAAAGACTTTAAAGGAAGCAGAGACATGAGGAGAATAAGATTTACTGAAAGGAACAAAAAATGAAGAAAGTAACATGAGAAAGCAAGTGAACTAGGAAGAAAGAACTGAGCTGCATGATGGGATCTGCATGTCCTTGGCGTGACCCTCTCTTCTGGCCTCGAAGCTCTGCTCATGCTGCCATCAGCACTTTTCTTTTTCCAGTATCTGGAGTCCAACAAAGTAGCAAATGCCACAGGGTTAATTTCCTCTCCAGCAGCAATTCTGCCCAGATGTGAGTCCTTGGGTTGTGGTTCTGGACCAAGAACAGCAAAGCTGACTTGGCTATGGATTGTGTGTGCCTGAGGGACTAGGGGGATTCTGTAGCTGATCTAAGAACTAAAGTCTGTTCTCAAGTGTGTCTGAATTATCAATCCAGTCTTGCTTCCCTCCCTTGGCTACTAGACCAGACTTCCTGATCCTGGGTTGGACCTTTGGGACCCCTCCTTATTCATACTCCAGGATCTGAGCTGATGAGCCATGTGCAAAGAAATGCACCTCACTAAGGCCTTCCTGGCACACCAGAGAGAGGAGATGGAGATAAAGCTCCCTCTGTACCATGCCTGCCTCTTTGGCTCTGGTCACTCAGCACTAGAACAAGCCTGCTTGCACCAGACATACACCTCAGGTTTTGACTGGAGTAAACTGGCCTGACTACCTGTGTTTGCTCAAATGGTTATGGTGTTGTACAGAGCTCGGGGTTTTACCCAATCACATCTCCACTTTTATTTAAGGACTGTTTATTTTCCCTTCCTCAGAGTTTGCCTTTACATTCTGCAGGCAAGTATGTAGATACTTTAGCGTTTCCAGGAAAACCTGCTGACATAACTGGTCTCGTGGCTATAGACCATGCAACAGAAGTTTTTTCTCCACTGGGAAATTACATACAGCTAAGAATAAATGTGTTCACTCAGAATAGATTTTGGGTCCCCCACATCCTGGAAAATGTGCTGCCTAGTAGTGCCTGTTATTGAAAATAGGACATCTAAGGTAAAGACTCAATTCATTTCAAATTTTAGCTTCAGTTCAGTTCAGTCGCTCAGTCATGTCCGACTCTTTGCGACCCCATGAATCCCAGCACACCAGGCCTCCCTGTCCATCACCAACTCCTGGAGTTTACTCAAACTCATGTCCATCGAGTTGGTGATGCCATCCAGCCACCTCATCCTCTGTCGTCCCCTTCTCCTGCCCCCAATCCCTCCCAGCATCAGCGTCTTTTCCAGTGAGTCAACTCTTTGCATGAGGTGGCCAAACTATTGGAGTTTCAGCTTCAGCATCAGTCTTTCCAATGAACACCCAGGACTGATCTCCTTTAGGATGGACTGGTTGGATCTCCTTGCAGTCCAAGGGACTCTCAAGAGTCTTCTCCAACATCACAATTCAAAAGCATCAATTTTTCAGCGCTCAGCTTTCTTCACCATCCAACTCTCATATCCATACATGACCACTGGAAAAACCATAGCCTTGACTAGACTTAATAAGGTAAAATAAAAACAAAAAAAAAAAACCACTCCACAGATGATATTAGTCTTTAAAAGTAAGGATTTTGTCTATTTTGAACACTGGCCAGACAGTTCCGTTGATGAGACTTGGCAGTAAAGAAGTTTAAATAGCAGGTTCCCTTCTCAAAATAGGTGTTCTGGGTCTAGAGCTCAGTAGACCCTGTGAGAAGAATCAGACCTTTCAACTCAAGAGACCCAGAGGTCTCTTAAGCTTTATGTTCTCCCACTAAAATGTTATTCCCTAAATGTTCCTGGAAGGAGGATAAGGAAGGAGATATGACTAGCCCTAGAAACATCTACTGGTCTGGGATAACCCCACCCCAGGATGCTAGGCTTGTCTTGCTGTTGGATGTGGAAAGAAAACACGGCAGCCTGAATGAGAGGCTGTACCCTTTGTACCTGTCCCTTCCTTCATGGACAGGGTAAGAGGTCTTATGCTGCTTTGCAAATCTATCAGAATTATGCTAGAAGGGCACCTAGATTCTTTTCTGACTACCTACATCATTACTGCTTTCTCAGAGCACTAACGTTTCCTCTACATGTAGAGCAACCTATGTAAGGTGTGAATATCTTCAAAATGCTTTCACAAAGAATTTCACAAAAAGCCAGCAGAAGGGTTAAGGCCAGAGCCAGCCCAGCTATTTACTGTATGGTGGGGAGGGTTTCAGTTTAATTACCCAGATATTTTGCACAAATTGGAAGGAGGAAATGAAAGGCTTTTTATAGTGTTCTATCTGAGGCATGGAGGCCTGACATCAGTACAGAATTTTCTTCTGATTTCACTATGTCTAAAGGCTAGTTGCTTTACCACTTATGGCCAGCTGCTGCCCACACACAGACATATACCCCAACTGGGGCCTTTGTCGAACTAAAAAATATATGTAAGACAAGAGAGCAAAAGAATGTAGATAGTCATAAAAATTTATTGGAATAAAAGCTTTAAGTAGATGCTGATCAACAGAAGGCCTGTAACATCCCTCAGATGGGAAAGACCTGAGAGTGTTTGGGGACATCAATTATTTATATATTACCTCATTCATTCCTGACAATCCCTGAGATATTATCTACATATTTTAATTTGAAACAAAGTGAAGACTTGTTCATTCAAAATGCTGTGGTGAAATCATTTTCAATTGGGTTAGCATCTGCTCTCTTCCCCAAAGAGTTTCCTTTAGTTATGGAAATTTATTCCAGGACAATTTAGAAAATACTCTCTCAGTTTGTTAGTCGAGAATTCTGAGTTTTAATTTTAATTCTGTTATTATTGACTGTGCAAGCTTTAATAAGGCACCTGATATCGTGGTGCTTTAGTGTGAAAAATGGTGAGGGAGGGGAGATGACAAAGCATCTTATGAACTGCAAAAAATATAAAGATTAAAAAATGTCTAAACATTCTATTACTGGCAGTATTTTAAATGTGGCTGTGCCAAGTTCGAGCATGCCATGAAGGCATGGGCAGGATGTATGCCAGGCCTACCATAATGGTAGAGATTTTTGGGCACTGACTATGCTTCCTGTTGTCTGAATAGACACGGGGGCAATTACAGAAAAGTGGCTGAGAGCCCAGGACAGAGGAAATAAAGGGAAGGCACAGCCGCAGCCACTCTGACTTGGCATATTGCCATGTTGGGCTCCTCTTGTCTTTATAATACTATAGGGGCCCTTAGGCAGCTGCCACATAACCCTTAAATAATATTGAAAAGGGTGTATGTGAAAAAGGGATAGGAATAATGGGAATCTGGTAGGTCTGGCTAGTTAGAAGCTTGTGGTTCGTTAGATGCTTGAGCTAGCAATTTATTAATTTGATGTTAAGGAGAGGAATGCCTTTTCACTTGTGAGTGGATGCCCTAGTCAAGAGAGAGCAAATGTGGGTCAGGTGTGGGAGGTAGGAAGACAGTGAAGAATTGTTCGTGAGACACTCCTTGTGTGGGTGAAGGCTTGGAAAACTCTCTCTCCTGAGTTGGTACTCTGATCTAACCCCAGGTGGGTATGAGTGAGCTGGTGTTACCACGATTAGCAGCATTACTTGGTAAAGAAAGAAAACGTGGTCTTATTCTTGGATCTGAGTCTGTATCTGAGCTTCAGCTCTGCTGCAGTAAAAAGCGCTCCAGGGCACACCGAATGCTTTGTATTCACTGAAGGTTCCTGTTTGTCTCTTCCAGCTTCTGCTTCCTGCTCCTGGTACCTAATTTTTGCTCCTGCCTTCCACTTTCCTCCTAATGTGAGCTCAACTTACAGCTTTCTGTTCTGGGCTGCACCCTTCTACTGTGTGTTTCTCCGTGTGTGTATGTGTGTGTGTGTGTGTGTTAGTTAAACAGAGGTGTGCTCTGTAGGTGTGTGTGTGTGTGTGTGTGTGTGTTAAACAGAGGTGTGCTCTGTAGGTGTGTGTGTATGTGTGTGTGTGTGTAAAACAGGTGTGCTCTGTGTATGTGTGTGTATGTGTGTGTGTGTGTTAAACAGAGGTGTGCTCTGTAGGCCTCCAATCCCCTTTAGCAGAATAATACCCATTTCCTCCTCTGCCATATGTGTGTGTGTTAGTTAAACAGAGGTGTGCTCTGTAGGTGTGTGTGTGTGTGTGTGTGTATTAAACAGAGGTGTGCTCTGTAGGTGTGTGTGTATGTGTGTGTGTGTGTTAAACAGAGGTGTGCTCTGTAGGCCTCCAATCCCCTTTAGCAGAATAATACCCATTTCCTCCTCTGCCATGGGAAAGTTCTGTCTCCTGTTCTGCCTTTACTGACCAGAATGAACACGTATTCTCCTAACTGTTAAAAATACAGCATTCATCCTAGAGCTGAAAAAGGTTTTCACTGATAAGTAAATACATTGGGCCTATTACTTTACATTGTCTGAATTGTGATTTGTACAGGCTTTAATTGTACTATTATACCCAAATTTTATTCTTTTAATATTTCCTGCTTGCTAGGCAAGGACCTAGTCCTTTTAGAAAAACCTAATTAAATTATACAAGGACATCTCCACTTAGGCCCTATCTTGTTAGAAGTGTCGATATAAGAAAAAACGATTTGGGAATTTGCTAGCAGTCCAGTGGTTAGGACTCTGAGTTCTCACTGCCAAGGGCACAGCCAAAAAAAAAGGAAAGAAATAAAGAAAAACCAATTCTACATCAAGATTCTACTATATAGCACTGGGAACTATGCTCAATATCCTATAGTAAACCATAATGGAAAAAAATATGAAAAGAATATACATATATAACTGAATCACTAAGCTATATACCAGAAACTAACACAGCATTGTAAATCAACTATACTTCAATAAAATTAAAAAAAAAAAAAGGAAACATTTTCAGACTCCAAATAATGCCCTAATATCTGCCAACAGCATTCAGTACAGTAACATTTGATCATATTTAAATTCCTCAGTTATGCTTGGTAAACTGATTTAAGTTTTTCTTTTTGACTGTAACCCTAGAAATGGAGAGCCTGCTGTTAACACTCAGCACACCCTCCCCCCTCATTTTTAAATCCTTTGGTGCTATTTGGGAGTTTACCACCAATTTTATTAAATTCCCTTTTATGGATCTTAACCTTTACTCCTCTGCCCATTTTCTACTCTCATTTCCTGTCAAAATCTGCTTGGCAACCATTCCTATTTTTGCTTTACTTCTTTGTGAATCATGTGGCAAGTGAGCCAGCAGTCTGAATTTTTTTTATGGGTCTATTTTCAGACTTTTTAAATTAAAATTCTATCTTACCCATAAGCTCTTTTATTTTAGGCTTACCTTAACCAGTCAGGCCTTGAGCTTTGGGACTAAACTGTATTATTCGCCACCATACTGGTCCTGGTGGCAAAGGGGCCACCAACGTGCCTGAGAGAGCTTCCAGACCACCTTAACCAAACTTCTCCTACCTTTACTCTTAATAGTTGAGGTGTTTCTGTTGAGACAAGTCAAGGATCACACACAGCTAGAGACTTCTTACCCCCAACCCTAGTGGCCATGTGACTACTTCTTATCGTGTAAAACTTACAGCTTTGGAACTCTAGCTTTCATCAGTGCTAGAATACAGTATGTAGTTTGTGTGTGTTCAGTCTCACTAGGGTCCAACTCTTTGCGACTCATGGACTGTAGCCTACTAGGCTCCTCTGTCCATGGGATTTCCCAGGCAAGAATACTATAGTGGGTTGCCACTTCCTTCTCCAGGGGATCTTCCCAACCAAGGGATCCAACCCACGTCTCCTGCTTTGGCAAGTGGATTCTTTCCCACTGAGCCACCTGGGAAGCCCTTTTGTAGTTTAGGATTAAGTTTACCAGCAGCAACTGTGCTCACCCTGCCCATATTCCACACTACAAACAGTTCACGAATTCCCTATTATGACTCCTCCCACCCTGCCCCAGTACATTAGTTTTATTCTCCTTTTGGTTTTTTAAAAAGATTATAGAACCTATAGTTTTATTGGGCTGTGCTTTTTTCTGTTGTTCTAATAAAATTGTTTGTGTCTCTTTTAAAATGTTCCATTTTATGTGTCCATTTTGCTTTATTTAAAAATATTATGTCTAGTGGATTGAGTAAGTCACGATTATAAGCAGAAGGGGCTGATAGTTGCTTTATCCAAGTATCTTTTCCAAATAAATACAAAAAAGAATGTCTATATGTATATAACTGAGTTTGCTATATGGCAGAGATTGGCACAACATTGTAAATAAAGTACACTTCAAAAAAAAAAGTAAAATAAAGTACACTTCAATAAAAAAAAATTTTTAAGTAAATAAATTTTTAAAAACCAGTGTCTTTTCCTACTTCCCAAAGCCAAATGCACTTTCTCTCCTTGAAAGTTATCCCCTTCAGAAACAGTTCTTTAAAAAGCCTGTCCTGCTTCTATTTGGCACTTAAACAATTGTCTTTCTTCTGTGTCTGATGACATTTTCTCCTAACTTCCTGTCTGCAGAATCATTTTGTGTGTACTCATGTGTGTGTGGTGGTTGGTCTAAGCCTTTCTCTGCAATCCGGCCCTAGATCCACTTATCCTCAGTGGCTGCTGCACTTAGAATAGCCAGGCAGTCTGGGTAAGGAATTCAGGAGAGCCTTTGGCTTTAAAGAGTCAAATGATAGAATTATAGCAGGCTTAGTGTTCCTCTGAGAATTGACAGCCCAGGTAAGGGAGCCCATAAATAACAAAGTAAATCCCGGGGCCCACCTCAGCAGAGTACTAACTTCTCGCTGCCTTAGCTAGCTGAAGTTGTCCTTTACCTTTTCCTAGAAGTTTCAGGCACCTGCAAGAGAGACCTGCGTGGAATGTCAGAAAACAGTCTACCCGATGGAGCGTCTCTTGGCCAACCAGCAGGTGTTTCATATCAGCTGCTTCCGTTGTTCCTATTGCAACAGCAAGCTTAGGTAAGCCAGACCAAACAAGACATCTCTGGAGGTAGTTGGACCTCCAGAGGGAGGCTTTGGTTTTTAGAACACTTAGAATACTAAAATCTGTGGTGCTAATAGTATCTGCTGTTAGAAGAGCTCAGAGAGCTACAGACAAAAATTAATGAAGTTATAGTAGCTCTTCAGGTGATTATTGCTGATCCAAAGATAGACTACAGACTGGTAAAGTTGGAAGATGAACATTTTAGGATTTCAGCTTCTCACCTACTTAGTACAGTTGAGAACCATGTATGCTTTGACATGTGTTTAGAGATGTCATGTTTTTGAGGGAAGTATCCCAGAAAATTGACTGTGTTCTAGAGATTTACAATCATTGCTTTTTCTGTAATAAAGTTGGGAGGTTGATTTAAAAAAATTGTGTGTGCCGTTGAGGATCTTCGAAGGAAGTGAAAAGTACCATTTAGTTACAAGCATTTTATAGTAAATGATAATGGTGTTTAGAACTTCTTGGTACATTGCCATTAATTTACACGTTAGGACTAAAGCTTAAATCATGCAGGTTGTTGGTGACCTAATTTAGCAGAATGTTTTCCCTTGGTATCAAAGAATCATACAGTTAAGAAATCTCAAGAGGCTACTTGTTGAAGCCCTTCAGGTTATGCCAAGTACTGTATAAATGGAAAAAACAGCAAAAATAGTAGATCCTGAAGAACACACATTTTTCTATATATTGCTTTGTTTTATTTTCTGAGAAAATAATGATGTATCATTTCTTCTTAGTAACTCAAAGTATGGATATAAATGTGGCAAATTGTAGAAAAATTCCATGTGAGCTCCTTTTATCCATATTGGAGGAGGAAGTAACCAGGATGGCATTTCTCCCAGCCTTCCTTCCAGAGCAGGCATCCCTTCCACCACACTGTTGAAAGATGTCCTGGCACCTGTGTGGCACTTCTGGGTGGGTTAATACCCCACTTCAGCTAGTTCTGGTGTTAGCGCTAGCTCCACAACTTTCCCTTCTATTGAGCCAAAATGTGCAACTATAACTTCCACTCAGTGGTTCTTTTTCCGTCCACTGTATTCTTTTCTTCAGAGCACATTCTTCTAAATTTTTGAATTTTTATGTTTCTCCTGTGGAAATAAATGTCGTTTTTCCACCCCTCCTATAAAATGTGTTACCCTTTGAGAGACACCAGATGTCCTAAAGACCTGTCCAGCACTGAAGTTAGGGTAGACCGACTTCTGGCTGTTGTTTGCTCTTCTCCTATTAACCATAGCTTTCCTTTATTCAGTCACTGGCATCTACTGAGTGCCAGTCATTGGCAGAGCATTATACCCATTCCTGCTTTTAAATTATAACACAAATGGGAAATTAGGAGGAAAATGATTCAACTTTTTACAAAGGAATATCATTAAAAATAGTTACATGTTATAAATAGTTAGGAAATAGGAGAATGATCAGAGTTAGGTGGAATTACCTAGGGAAGACTTCCTGGAAGTAATTTTTTTTAACAATTTTGACAGAGGGGAGGGAGTGAAATCACTTGAAAATGGGAGCATGCACCAAGTGGAAGAATGTCTTCTAAAGTTTCAGGCCTAGAAATGAGCATTTTTTGATAAGGATAATAAAAACAAACATGTTTAAAAGGGGATGGAGCATCTTCGGTTGACTGATGATGTGCTTTTTTAAAATTTTTATTTATTTGGCTGCACTGGGTCTTAGTTGCAGCACATAAGGTCTTTAGTTATGGCATGTGAGATTTTGTTCCCTGACCAGGGATCGAACCTGAGCCCCCTGCATTGGAGTGCAGAGTCTTAGCCACTGGACCACCATGGAAGTCCCTGAAGTGCTTTTAAAGATATTTTTCTCACTTTGCATCTTCTGGAAATACTGGAGTTGCCAGGTTTCAGTCTACTGGTATAAATAAGAGTATACACATTTGTTAACTTTATGCTCTTTTTTTTTTTTTAAACAACAGTCTAGGAACATATGCCTCTTTACATGGGAGAATCTATTGCAAACCTCACTTCAATCAACTCTTTAAATCTAAAGGTAACTATGATGAAGGCTTTGGACACAGACCACACAAGGATCTGTGGGCAAGCAAAAATGAAAACGAAGAGACATTGGAGAGACCAGCCCAGCTTCCAAATGCAGCGGAGACCCTTCAGAGCCCAGGGGTAGAAAATGCCCCCATTGAGAAAGTGGGTGTGCTAACTGCAAGTATGGAAGCCAAGGCCTCCTGCCCACTGGAGAGGGAAGACAAGCCAGCTGAAACCAAGAAGCTGAGGATCGCCTGGCCACCCCCCACTGAGCTTGGCAGTTCAGGAAGTGCCCTGGAAGAAGGGATCAAAGTATTGAAGCCTAAGTGGCCGCCTGAGGATGAAATTAGCAAGCCTGAAGCTCCTGAGGATATAGACCTGGATCTGAAGAAGCTAAGACGCTCTTCTTCTCTGAAGGAGAGAAGCCGCCCATTCACCGTAGCAGCTTCATTTCGAACCTCTTCAGTCAAAAGCCCAAAAGCCTTGTCCCCCCCTATCAGGAAAGGCTGGAGCATGTCAGAGCCAAACGAGGAGTATGGAGGAGGTGTAGCAGCAGAAAGGAAACACATGGAAAATGCCAGCGCCTCTGAGAAGAATGAGAGTGTGGGGAAAGCAACCTGGCCCAACAAGGGATCTAAAGGAGGGGAGGCTGGGCGGAGAAGTAAGGAGATTCACAGTTTTGAGATGGGGAGTGAAAATCTTATAGAGAATGGTGCAAACTTAGATGAAAGTGATAAAAACCTCCTCAAAAAGCAGTCTCCACTAGAACCCAAGTCAAAAACTTGGTCTAGCTATACAGACAACCCCTCCACTAAAGAATTCACTACTCAAAATCAGAAATCCCAGGATGTGGGATTCTGGGAGGAAGAAGTAGTTGAAGAGCTGTCTGTAGAGGAACAGATAAAGAGAAATCGGTACTATGATGAAGATGAAGATGAAGAATAACAAATTGCAATGATGTTGGGCCTTACATTTATGTGAGTGTCAGTGAGTTACTGCCCTTATCAAAGTGATACACATAAACAGCTGTCTCAGCATGAACTGAAATTTATGAGGAAGTAACTTTGGAAGAGAGTTCCTGCTTCAAAAAAAAAAATCCCATACTGCAGCTTAAGTGAACCAATTCTAAACGCTAGAGATAACATCACTTAAATCCTCTATTTTAGCAATGATGATATACACAACTGCTTTAAGGTCTTTTGGGGGCAGGAGTATGTATGGCGGAGTGGGGGGGGGGCGGATATTCCAACTGATAAGGTCCAGATTTCACTGTATTCCTGAAAGACAATATGAAAATAGAGAGATGATTAGTAGTGCACTGTTCCACTAAAAATTCAATTATGGAATGAGCAGAAGGGATTTAGGGGCCTAAATATTATAACTGAATGCACTTTAGTATAAAGGGCACAGTTTGCATATTTTTACATGAATACCAATTTATTGTTTAGTATTCCTCTGCTAAGAGATTAAATATTTAGTCTTTTTTAAAAAATTAGGTTAATTTTCTTACTCTGATGTATATGGGGGATTTATTGCTTACTCTGATATATAGGGGGGTTTATTGCATCCTGCTTTCTAGACCACATCCTGAACCTAGAGTATTGAGATACAGCACAACCATCTTTTCAGAGTACCTTTTGAGCACCCTTGGTGCCTGGAGGGATTCATTGTGTCCCAAATAAGCTATGGTATTTGCCAATGAGTATGACCACACCCCAAGTGACTGCTTTCTTCTCTGGTGGTCTCTGTATTTCTCATAATTTACTGAAAGCTGCAATATTTTTATAAGATCTTTTATATTTGCCATGTTGCATATTAGAGCAAAGTGATGAGTTTAAAGGAGGAATAACAAAAAAGAAAAAGATGCCTTAAACCACTTGAGTTCAGACCCCCCCCCCCACCCCTATAATTCTACTTCTGATATCCCCTTTCTGGGACATTAGTTTTTGAATACTTATAAGTTCTGAAATGTATAGATTTTTATGGCAGACAGTATTCCTAGGATGCAATTAAACCAATTATAGGCCTTTCTTGAGAGATGATTTTCTAGTATTAAGGTTTTGGAAAAATATAAACTTGAGTACATTTGTTGTACATAATTGATATTCCAAATTGTATTTTGGCGGGGAGAGAAGCATTTTAAGCTATAGGCTTTACTTTATACAGCTTTTTTCGAGATTTAGCTCTGATGTTTTTTAGAGATGTAAAAATATTCTGCTTTCTTACAGTCTTGCTTACTCTGAAACATTTTTATTCAATAAAGCTTTTAACTGACATTTGAACTTTCAGTGTTCCTTTTCCATTATTATTTTACATTGTTACTGTCTCTCAGGACTTACTTTTGCCTTAGCAGTTTGGGTAGAAAAGGCAAGTACGTCTGATGGGTTTCAAGGGAAGTACTATGTATACCTCTCACCACTAGGTGGTGGTGTTGAGCTGGTCTTAGGCTTTCATTCTCCTAGAAGACAAATTTTTCTTCAAAATGGAAAGCAGTCTGGCAACAAAATTATTGTGTGCGTTCAAAACAAGACGCTTGTTTTACCAATTCAAGATGCAGTGGTGGTTTTTATTAATTAGTTAATTATTGTTCAGTTGCTAAGTAGTATCCGACTTCCAACCTCACGGATTATAGTACACCAGGCTCCTCTGTCCTCCAGTATTTCCCAGAGTTTGCTCAAATTCTTGTCCACTGAGTCAGTGATGTTATCTAACCATCTTATCCTCTGCTATCCCCTTCTTCTGTCCTCAGTCTTTCCAAGAATCAGGGTCTTTTCCAATGTGTCGGCTCTGCCTCAGGTGGCCAAAGTATTGGAGCTTTAGCATCAGTCTTTTCAATGAATATTTAGAGTTGAGTTCCTTTAGGGTTGACTGGTTTGATTTCCTTCCAGTCTCAAGAGTCTTCTCCAGCACCACAATTCGAAAGCATCAATTCTTCAGTGCTCAGCCTTCTTTAATGGTCCAACTCTCACATCTGTACATAATTACTGGAAAAACCATAACTTTAATTATATGGACCTTTGTCGGCAAAGTGATGTCTCTGCTTTTTAATACGCTGTCTAGGTTTGTCATGGCTTTCCTTCCAAAGAGCAGTTGTCTTTTAATTTCATGGCTGCAGTCACCATCCACAGTGATTTTGGGGCCCAAGGAAAGAAAATCTGTCACTGCTTCCACTTTTTCCCTTTCTATTTGCCATCAAGTGATGGGACCGGATGCCATGATCTTAGTTTTTTGAATGTTAGGTTTCAAACCAGGTTTTTCACTCTCCTCTTTCACCCTCATCAAGAATCTCTTTAGTTCTTCTTCACTTTCTGCTATTAGAGTCATATTATCTGCATATCTGAGGTTGTTGCCTTTTCAACTGGCAAATTTGATTCCACCTTGTGATTCATCCAACCCAACATTTCTCATGATGTACTCTGCATTTAAGTTAAATAAGCAGACTGACAATATACAGCCTTGTCATACTCCTTCCCCAATTTTGAACCAGTCAATTGTTCCACGTCCATTTCTAACTGTTACCTCTTATCCTGCATACAGGTTTCTCAGGAGGCAGTTAAGGTGATCTGGTATTCCCATCTCTTTAAGAATTTTCCAGTTTGTTGTGATCCACAGTCAAAGCTGTAGTGTAGTCAATAATTCTATCTCCAAGGAAATCTACACTCCCATTTAAAAAGGAAAAAAGCAAAAAACACCTTAATAAGGTAAAGTATACTTCACCTTATAATTACACCTAAATGCTAAATGGAATCTCTGAATGCCTCTGCTGGACTTGAAATGCACTTGTTTTTTGCTCCGGGCAGAGGTATAGTTGTTGTTTCATTTCCTTGTTTGCAGAGGCAACTGCCTATGATTAGTAAGGTGCTTTTTTTTTTTTCCTTTTTTTTTAAATGGGAGTGCAGATTTCCTTGGAGATAAAAATGCTTTTTCAGTCATCTGTTAACATTTTCCAGGGTTGCTGTGTGTTCCAGTTTCTTGCCTGGTCTTCAAAGTGGATGGCTGGATACTACTATCTGCTCTTGACTCCACTACAGGCTGAAGTAATTTAGAAAGCCCTGAAAGCCCTGTTCACTGAACAGTTAATCCAGAAGGACCTGCTGATTTTTACAAAATATCCAATCCTGGTTTGAGTTTAGCTACCTTTACTTTGTGACTCACTATTGCTCTAACCCGTCCACATGGTGCTCATCACATCTACTAACCTTATACAAAAAGTGAGTGCCTAGGGTGGGCATTTTATGTGTATCAGTTGAGTGTGTACCTGCTCAGTTGTGTCCAATTCCCTGCAACCCTACATATTGTAGCTCAATAGGCTGCTCTATCCATGGAGTTTTCTAAGCAAGAATACTAGAATGGGTTGCCATTTCCTCCTCCAGTGGATCTTTGCTATCCAGGAACTGAATCCGCATCTCCTGTGTCTCCTGCATTGCAGGCAAATTCTTTACCACTGAGTTGAGTAAGTCACCATATATCAGGTATGTGAGGACTGCGATTATCCTGGGAAGAACTTTTCCATGCCTTTCAAGGACTAAGATAGATATAAGTATAGAGAGTAGATATAAGTATAGAGAGTAGAGATAAGAATTAGTTCCATAATCAATACAATAAAAGGATATTCTTATATCAAGAGAATGACCAGATAATACTAAATATTCTTAGAAAACAAAAGCACCTACAGCCAAACAAAAAGCATTTATTCTCTCAGCTCTCTGAATGAAGGCAACTTCTTGGACTATGTCAAGGTTGACAGTGGAATGACATGAATTTTTCTGTCGGTGAAGCAAGAAAAGGCCTGCTTTGGAACCTGAAATGATTAAGGAGACTCTGTTCATGACTGCTACAAGGGCCAACTTAGTTCTGCTGGCTTGCAGGTCAAATTACTCCTGGCCTAAGTGAAACCTGTACTAAGTTTACTCTCACATATTTCATCAGCAATATGTTTTCTTACAACCAAGAGGTTGAGGAATGTCACAAAAGTGTTTTTCTGGGAATAAGTCTTGAGACCAAGATCATGGTGTATAAGCTCCTGTAGGCCAAGTTAGCGTGTTCTTTGTTTCCTGGGGCTCTGATTTGAATTCCCATGGGATCAAGAAGCGTTTACTTCTTTTGAAATTAGTCTTGATTATAAGGTAGTTACCATCAAAACTATTTGAGTTTGGATGAAAATGGCTTCAGGCATGGTTTTAGACCAGCAGCAGTGGTATGATCTCTGAGTTTGTCAGAAATACCCATTCCTGGGCCTATCCTGAACTTCTTGAATCAAAACTTTGGATGGAGCCCAGGAAACTTTTAGCAAACTTAGCAAATTCCCTATGTAGGAGATCAGTTCAGTTGCTCAGTCGTGTCTGACTCTGCGAATCCATGGACTGCAGCAAGCCAGGCTTCCCTGTCCATCACCAACTCCTGGAGCTTATTCAAACTTATGTCCATCATGTCAGTGATGCCATCCAACCATCTCATCCTCTGTTGTCCCCTTCTCCTTCTGCCTTCAATCTTTCCCAGAATCAGGGTCTTTTCAAATGAGTCAGTTGTTCACATCAGGTGACGAAAGTATTGGAGTTTCAGTTTCAGCATCAGTCTTTCCAATGAATATTCCAGGCTGATTTCCTTTAGGATTGACAGGTTGGATCTCCTTGCAGTCCAAGGGACTCTCAAGAGTCTTCTCCAACACCACTGTTCAAAAGCATCAATTCTTTGGTGCTCAGCTTTCTCTATAGTCCAACTCTCACATCCATACATGACTACTGGAAAAACCACAGCTTTGACTAGACGGACCCTTGTTGGCAAGTAATATCTCTGCTTTTTAATATGCTATCTAGGTTGGTCATAGCTTTTCTTCCAAGGAGCAGGTGTCTTTTAATTTCATGGCTGCAGTCACCATTTGCGGTGATTTTGCAGCCCCAAAATATAAAGTCTCTCACTGTTTCCATTGTTTCCCCATCTATTTGCCATGAAGTGATGGGACTGGATGTAGGAGATGGAACAAGCTAATGTCTGAGCTGTAGCACACTGAGGCTTGAGAACCACTGGAATTAAAGCACATCTTTTAGTCTGTTCCTTAAGGTGGCTCCTTTTATTTCTCTTCTTCTCCCTTTGAAACTCTATCTGCTGCTGCAAGCATGCCTACTGGAATAAAGATACTCTGTCTTTAAACAAGATTAGTTCTTTAATCTTTTTTCAGATCATTCTAGGTAGCCTGTGGTAATTAACCTTGTAGCTAGGTTTGAATGGGTGGCACCCAGGGTTCAGGTTCTCCAGCAGTTGAGGAACAATTTAGAGTTCAGTGTTTTGAAGGTTTCTTGTTTATGGCTCCCCTCACTGTTTATGTAGATCCACAAAAGAGGTCAATGTTCAATGTGGAAATCTAGAATTAACCACGTTTATAGGATAAAGCCTCAGGGTTTTGGAGTCTAAAGGCTTTCCAGTTCAGAAGCTCACCTCTACCACTTGTTTATATAACCTCGGGCAAGTTTGGACCTCAGTTTACTTATTCATAAAATAGTAAATAAAACACCCACTTCATAGAATGAGGAAGTTAAATACTGTGTGTAAAATGTTTAGTGCAGTTCCTGGCATATAGTAAACTTCATTAAACGTTGGCCATCAACATCTTTCTTTTTCCTTTATATTTTACTTTGGATACCCTCTATTTCCTTTTCCCATGAGAATAAAAGGATTTTTTTGAAAGCCCACTTTAAGCGATATACAGTGAAAGTGGGTTGAGATCGAGGAGAGGCAAGAAAGGAGAGAGTGTGTGGAGAGAAAAGGGAGAGAAAGCAAGAACGCTGCTGATAGGCGGGACCAGCTGAGATGGAGATAAACCCTAGTGAGAAATGGGGCTGGGAGCGGGAGGAAGAGAGAGACATGGCCTTCCAAGGAGCAGATATCGTTTTAAGCTGGCTGGACAGAAAAATGTCCCCATAAAGGAGCCATGCCTGAAATAAGGGGTGTAGCCGCAGCAGGACGGGCGAGTGAGGGAGGAGGAAAAGTTCGGTCTAAACCGGTAGCAAAAAAAAGACCAGAGTTGAGCGCCTCGGGGGTGGGGCCAGGGCTGGGTGGAGGCGGGGCGGGAGAGGGAGGGGCGTGGTTGGGACCAGAGGGCGGAGTCCCGAGAAGAGATGGCGGGGGAAGCCGCAGAGAGGAAGGTGGGCGGGGAGGTGGGATGGGCGGTGAAGAGACCCGGCCCTGCAGAGGAGGCGGGCTGAGACGTGCCGGGGATGAGAAGGGGCCGGAAGGGGGTGGCCGCCGGTCCGGCCCCGCCCCGGGGCCGCCTCCCCGCGGGTTC